GTGAATTGAATTTAAATAATTGGTTTGAATGGATGGCCATTGATATACAGGAAAATATTAGAGTCTCGCACAGGCACAATGGAGACTGGCGCAGTTAAATGCTGCCTGCGAATCTATCTAAAGAAAACATGAGATTTGGGATGTGGCAGGCAATGGTTAGCAGCAAAATATTAGGGGATTGCATGACTTCACCAATCCTAAGAACTTACAGTTTGAACTTTTATTGGGTGGAAGGTGAGAAGATGGGGAACTGCAGCGTAGAACAATCGATGGAATCTAAACATGAAAGAAAAGGGGTTGGAAGGAAACCCGGATTGAGGGAGAAGGTAAGGGTCTTAACTTATTAAGAGATTATAGTGGAGTTGAGAAAGTTTTAGGATAGTTAAATTATGGGCTTGTGTAATCTTGGTTTTGCTTACATTTTACAATTCATGGAAGCTATCCATCTGAAGGACGACTCTATTGATTTTGTCATTGTAAAGTTGAAACGTAGAATCAAATATAGGACTATAGTGCTGTACGATTGAATAGTGAAATATTTGTTGAAGCATAGATTAAAATAAAGAGGATTATCGGCTTTTTCTCACTTTCATTTTGGATCAATGGTCGATGTCTGCAGTTGCGTATTTTGTTAAAAGTCAAGAGATTCGAATTTTTTCACCCATCAATTGAGTTCAACATCCCAAGAATTACATACAGTTTTTAGCTTCTCCCATTTGGGTTGATGGAGAAAAAATTCCAGAGGAAATGCAGAATTGTCGGTTTATTTCTAAAACTGTTTAAAAAATACTTCGGAACACTGGTAATATATGTAAGATGTTCATGGGTGATTGCTGGATCATATTTACTTGGGATATTGCGTAACATAATATTATGGAAGTCTATTCAGAAGCATGATTTGTTATTAATAATACATGCACGTAAAAATCAAAGTTTGTTCAGTGGCTTGTTTATTATATACATATATATTTGGTGTAAAAAGGTGAAAGTGATCAATTCTCCAAAACTAACGCCTAATGATCTCAAACTCCGCATGAATCGAAGTTGAAGATGGGAATATCAAAGGCTGTATATTAACTAACATATTATTTTAAAATTTGTTGAGCACATAAGAATGATGCGATGCCGTTTAATGATTTGTATTTAATTTCAGTTATTGGTTTGATTAGTTGTCCAACAATACATGGTGCGGCTGTCACTAATTTTTTTTTGAAAAAAGCCAGGATGTTACTGCAAAATAGGATACGAAGGAAATTCTTATCTCTCTCTGGGATGTCATGGTGGGATTTCCTTCTGATTTTTTGAAATGGTTACAGGCATAGACGAGAGTGCTGATCCAGAAAACAAATCGAGCAATTCATTGATGAGATCATAATCCTTTCTCAGATCAAACCATAAAAATGTTGTCAAACTACTTGGCTGTCGTTTGGAAACAGAGGTTCCTCTGCTTGTATGTGAATTCATCGCCAACGGCACCCTCAATTGTCACATTCACAACAAGGCTTCTTCACTTTCTTGGGAAGATAGATTGAGAATAGCAGCAGAAACTGCTTGATCAAACCCATCACAAGTACAATGCCAAAACTGTAGACATCACTCTTCTCCGCCCATCATTCACCCAGACATCAACTGCACAAACATTCCTCTGGACAACAATAATAGACCTGAAGTACCGGACTTTGTGGTTTCCAGATTGGTTCCGCTTGATCAAACCTAGTTGAGTACACTGGTGCAAGGACCCTAGGGTACCTAGATCCTGAATACTTCCTCACCAGGCAGCTTACAGAGAGGAGTGATGTCTGCAGCTTTGGCATTGTACTTGTGGAGCTATTGGCAGGGAAGAATGCAAGGCCAGCCACGAAGGAGGTGGCCATGAAATTGGAAAGACACAGAACATATAAGCAGCTGTCATACCCAGATCAAGCAAGGCAGAGCTTAGCTCAGTATTTTCTCCTGAGACAACAATCAGAATCTCATATTGTCAATTCAATCGGGCGTGATGGTATTAGAGGCCATGTGCTCTTCGATTTTATGTATAGAAAGCTAAGTTGTGTACGCACTAATTTCGTTGTTAATGACTAATAAAATCATGTTCACTGGAGTGTTAAAAATTAAATAAAGATATTCAGATATACAGAGTTCTGGCAATTATTACCCAGACCAAAAGGGTGGAAGGGGCCTATTGAATCCAATGTTTTGAAGCTTTAACTTTGTGACAGAACAACTTGGTTTGAATTAATTAGCAGAGGAACCATTTTTTTTTTCTCCAGTTGTCTGCATCGGGAAGACAGATCAGATTCGCTTGATAACGTGGGATCCTCATCCCCATTAATGGAATATTTTTCCACTACATTGATTTTGAAAAAGCTTTTGCCAGTGGATTCAACAGATATTTTGAAGAGAAAACAAGAGGTTGAAGATGAAATTGTTGCTCATTTCTTGTTCAATCGTTGTGACTGAAGAAGCAAATGACACACCCAACTTGATTCTTGCTAATAATTGGAGATATGGAAACAGTAGCAGACTTATCAGATATACACACACTCACACACATGTATATAGATTATATCTTCATTGACAGTATACGTATTCATTGATCTGACTAATATTGTATAAATGAGTGATAGATTAATTAACTATCAATATGTAGATTGATGGCTAAACAGAAATTCTTTTAAAAAAATTTCATCTTGATTCTCACATAAGTGGTGGGCCTTAGCTTTTTTTCTTCCTTTTGAAATTTGATGCTCACCTTTAATTAAAACCAAACCAAACCAACCACTTTTTCGTAACATCTCTTAAAACCTTTACAGATATCAGATGAGGGTTTAGTTATTTAAATGTCACAGGAGTTTATCCACGTGTAGATACACCAATTTTTACTAATGAAAATTTAACAGATGATGATTGAAAAAATTAATATATATATATATATATATATATAAGAAAAACTAATTTTTCACAAGCCAATTATGGGGGTGGGGAAAGATTGATCTTAGTGTGTATAGCAGTGGAGAATATATGTATACACAATTAGCAAATGGAGTGGGACCTTGTCCGTGCTAAAATCTGGGTGTATGTAGGCAAAACTTCTTTTCAATTAAAGCTAATAGTTCTTGAAAAGTTATAACTTTTTATTTGAATCCTAGATTTTATGGTCTCACGCCAAACTAATTATGTTCAAAAGCCATCAGGTTCATGAACATTACTGTTCAAAACCTTTCTCATGCAAATCTGGGTTCCAAACGCCATTCCCACGCTAATGCCATATATTTTTCTCTTACATCCCTTCTCATACATATATTTACATATAAACATGTATAAAACAATTGGGTGTAATTCTAGAGCCTATATAGAATAATTGAGCGTGTTCACCTATATTAAAAGTTTTAAAGTTGACAAAAGCTGGCCAAATATGTTAGTTATATAGTTACAAACATTTCACGTTAATATCTTGATTCAGAATTAGGTTAAAATCATGCATAATTATATTAACAAGGCAACTTCGCTGTGCTTAACTTTAAAAAAATGTGTATGCTGATTTGCTGCTCTTCGTGAGTAAGCTCATCATAGCAAGAAGATCAAGAGAAGCAAATCGGAGTAAACATCAATCAAGAGACAAGTATTTCTGTTTTTGCATATGTGATTAATTACGTATTAATATTGTTCAATCTAATAACATATAAAACCGATCATGATTGAAATTATATTCCAGTATTGTAGATGCTCAAGGCAGAAGAAGTTTATTTCCCACACTGATTTTTCACGCACCAGGCCTGGATATGAATTTGGATTGATCACACAAAAGTACACCATGTACTAATTTGGCCAATCTTAATTCAACACTTAATTAATATACAAATCTGAATTACAAAATAATTTCCCCATCTTGCCTAATCTTACTCAATTTGTCGTCCTCCCCCAATTCCATCAACCTATCTATGAACAGCAGCACAAAACAATCAACTTACGTACCCACGAAATATATATATATATATATATATGTATATATGTCCCAGCTGGTTCCAAACCTAAACACCAAATTATATCTGCTGCCATGGATATCATCAATAAACCCTAGGGTTAGGATTGGTCTTTGATTTGGTCATACTCTGAACAATGACTTCTCCAACTCCTTCCCCAAACCCTTCAATGAGTCCGCCAATAAACTCAACCATAACCTGACCAGCAAGCT